TCTATATTTTGGATATCTGAGGGTGCGTAGGTATTTGTAGAGGAGTGGAAAGAAGGGAGGCATTGTTGGGTTAGAACAACGATGCCAACTGATTATCTCAAGTTCATCTTGGCTCCAAATGGGGATTGGGGCTGCTTTTTCCAAAGTTTGGAACAAAGCCATTTGTCTTCATGACACTTGAGGAGAACATTGATGTTACTTTATCCTTGATTAAGAAAAACCTCTGTCTGGCTGTTATAGCTTTTTGTGTTTCCCACTCATATCTGCATCTTCTTCCTTTTTTTTTTTGTCTCTTTGGGTGATCGGTTGGTTAGGTTTGAAGGAATTTGTTTATTGTATGAATATAATGTTGTTTATTTTATTTTATTATAGCACAACATTTAATGTTCAATGATTTTCTTTTGGCAGATATGAACGCTTCCTTAAAATCATGATTCTTAGTGTACTAAAGAATACTCACCGTCCAGTAAAATTCTGGTTTATAAAGAACTATCTCTCACCACAATTTAAGGTTGTTTACAACTTATTCCAAAATCCACTTCTCCTCCCCTGCTTCCTCTTAATCATCTTTTATCTTCCTTACCCCCTTTCCTCTTTTCCATGGTTAAATCTGGTAACTAAAGTGTTGTGTGCTTATACCCTGTTTATTATTACAATATGCAGGATGTGATTCCTCATATGGCCCAGGAATATGGCTTTGAGTATGAACTTATTACCTACAAGTGGCCTACATGGTTGCATAAGCAGAAAGAAAAGCAGCGAATTATTTGGGCATATAAGATTCTGTTCCTTGATGTTATATTTCCCTTGTCCTTGGAAAAGGTATTCTTGTTCTTGGTTCATGTTTAATGAATATATTTTACTGTTGCTTATTCATTAATTGCATGGCCCTATCTACTGTAAGACATGTATTTCAGAACGTTGCTTGTGTTCATATGCAGGTTATATTTGTTGATGCTGATCAAGTTGTTAGGGCAGATATGGGAGAGCTCTATGACATGGATATTAAAGGAAGACCTTATGCATATACTCCTTTTTGTGACAACAATAAGGACATGGATGGTTATCGATTTTGGAGACAAGTAATATCAATACTTTCCTCTGTTTTTCTGCTTGTTTATTTTTGTTCTATTCTTCATAATACTTGTGTAGACAGACCTTGCAATTGCTGCTGATAGAGCTGTTAGTGTAACTCACTTGGTCCCATTTTTTTATCTTTTCCACTTGTTCTCAGGGTTTCTGGAAAGAACATTTGCGGGGCAAATCCTACCATATAAGGTGGTGATTGTGTAATTTTTTTTTATCCATTCAATATAAATGCTAATATGCTATGAGCTTGACAAGCATTGTATTTCCTGCAGTGCCTTGTATGTGGTTGACTTGGTCAAATTTCGTGAGACTGCAGCAGGAGATAATTTAAGAGTCTTTTATGAAACTCTTAGCAAGGATCCAAACAGTCTGTCCAATTTGGATCAGGTGAGTGTGCCAACCACTAAATTAGATGACAGAATATAAGCCGTGATCATTGAAATTGAAGTGAATGCAAAATAAATAAGCAGAGATGTTTGTTAAAGTTGTTCTCTATTCTTTAATTGAAATTGCAAATACTAACAGGATCATGCATTTAATATATAGATATTTTTTTACTTTTATATCGGAGGTCTATGGTATTATGTAAAAATGCTTTTTGGTGGTTGTTGGGCATTTCCCTCTGCTTTTGTCAATCCTTCAAGTAACTGTATCTGATCCTCAACTACCATTCTGCATCAGGATCTTCCAAATTATGCTCAGCATACAGTACCCATTTTTTCGCTGCCCCAGGAATGGCTGTGGTGTGAATCATGGTGTGGTAATGCCACAAAGTTCAAGGCAAAGACCATTGATCTCTGTAACAATCCAATGACAAAGGAACCTAAACTTAAGGTATCTATCCACCCTTTGAAAGTTGTGTATTCTGTTCTAAGGAAATAATCCTGTCTATTAATTAGTTGCTATCATCCCTCTCAGGGTGCTAGAAGGATAGTTTCAGAGTGGACAGATCTGGACTCGGAGGCAAGACATATCACTGCCAAAATCCTAGGTGATGATGAAGCAGATAATCCAGAGCCAGTTCCATCTCCTAATCAATTGTCGACATCAACAAGTCCAAGTCAAAGTGAAAGTTCTGTGGAAGAAGACCCAGAATCTAAAGCAGAGCTGTGAGTACGTACAAATTTTGAGTTTGAAGCGCATCAAACTGCTTTGAATAATTCTTGGGCTACAATTCAGCTAGTTGTTCTGTAAGCTGCCTTGAGGCAGTCACCACCCTGTACACTGCACGGAAGGAAGTTGACTCTTTACATTCTTCTAGCTAAAAAGGGTAAATGCGTTGAAGATACTTATTTCAGAGCTGAATTTGTTTCATTATTCTTCAGATGTTAATTGACCTTCAGGCATTGCAGTTAGAGTCCCTTACTTGATAGACTAGAAGCCATAAAATTCACAAAGTTAGCCATTTTTATGCCATGGAAGTAGCAGATAGGCTAGGTCAGAATGAAAAAATTTTGTCACTGTTGCATATTGAGTTGAAGCCAACAATGATTCCGACAACTATTAAAATTTGCTTTTACTAATAAACTGCTAAGTAGTTTACTTTCCTGTGGTGGGGTTTGACGTTTTTAATATATTATGCCTTAAATTTTTTAACTTCGAACATTTAAGCAGGGTTTGTGTTGTTCACTGTCCCAACCGATGTCCTTTTCTTTTTCTTTTTTCTTTTATTTGTTTTAATTTTTTTTTAATTTTAATTTTTTAACATTTAACAATGAGTGAGTTGTAGTTTGAAAGAGGTTTATCTGGTGATCTAAATTATATAATTTAAATTGTATGACATTTTTTGATTAAAAACTACACAAGAATGTTTCTCACTTCTCTTTAAATCACTCCTCATCCCTCTTAACATTTGAAATTGAGACTTCAGATTTTTAATTTGGTGTGTCGAGCTTTTAGACACCTTGAAAGAACCTGACCATATTTCACTTCGTCAACAATCTACAAGCCCACCCTTCATTGAAAGTACAGGTATAGTAGGTATCCTGAAATATTAACCTATTAATCAAATGCATGTTCAAAAACTAACAACAAAAAGAAAAAGCATAAGCAAAACAAATCTCGTTTAGCTATGCAAATGCAAAACAGAACCCTCCATAAGTGAAAACACAGGCTGGCAGATAAGGATATGTTGTACTCCTATTAGGCTGGTAGGTTTTTCTGTCTTTTACTTTCAAAAAAAAAAAAACTAAAATTATCAAAAATATATAAAATCTTAATTAAAATTAATTTTTATACCTTTTGCAATAGTAAAAGACATGGTAAAAACCTATATACGCAGCACAATAGTCCCAAACACATACGATTTCATTAAAGGAGCTAGTCATCATGTCAATTTCTCGCATCAATCCGGGGGATTATTCATTAAGGAAATCAATGCATTAAATATATAAAAGCTTCAATTTATCAATGTAATAAAAAGTTGCAAATTGTACCTCATTTAGGTAATGAGATGACCCATGCTATGGACCACATTCATAACATTCAATCCCTATGGCTAATTTCTTGAATCCCCAAAATTTCTTAATGTGTATGATAATTTAATCGGATAAAAAATCATGCCTTGTTGCCCCCTTCTTCCATTGTTAAAGGAAACTTAATTAGGTTAATTGGATGGACAAAAATTGGTTTTAGTATTTTGTGCATCGAGTAATAATTTTTTTAGACCAAATTTTAAAACAAAAATTTAGAACAAAATACTTTTAATTATAATTACGTGGGTTCATATAAAATCCATACTATAATCAATGGTTATCTTAAATTCATCTTAAAATTTGGTCCTAACTATCATATTCTTGTGTGTAAACATGCAAAAAAAAAGTTGGGAAGCATCACTTCAAAGCAAGCAAACTGCCAGACTAATTTACCAAATTGTTGCATATCAATTTGGTCACAAAATTCAAAATGGAGATCCGATCCTAGGTCATCTTTGATTTGGATGGTAATTGACACGAGATCTCTCTACTTAAACATCTTCCTTAGAACCTAGAGGAAAAGAAAACCCTAGATTTCTAAAACAACAATCTTCTCTATCATGTAGCCAGATTTGCCTAAGAATTCTATTTTTTATTTTTTATTTTTCCTTCTGGTCTTGTATGGACTAACATTCAATACTTAGGGCAATTTGAAGGGAGGCTTCAAGGAAGGTAAACTAAATTGGAAAATGTTACATGTTCCTTTCATTTCCAAATATTGTACCTCAATGCCATCAAGCTTCTACAAAACTAAATTTCTCAAAAAGAATGCATTATTCAGCCGCGTTAGGCTGGATTTCAGATAATTGAGATTAGATTACAATTTAGATTAATCCCAATTCATAATGTTTTGGAATACTAAACAATCAGTACCCAACTTAGGCAGGCATAAAATTTTCAGTATTTAGGCAGATGGTACGTGTGCTAGAAAATTTGATTCCTGAAAGAGTTCAAAGACACTCCTCCTTTCATGTTCTTTGGACTGACTTGGGGCTGACATTGATTTTTGGCCTCAGTTTTAGTGGGGTGTGCATCAGCATTCCAGTTTTAGATTCCAAAACCTTAATGGGAGAGGATGGTTCATCAGTGACTTGTTGAGACTTCAGCATCTAGAGGCTACTATTCTTTGTTCGTAATCAGGTATTCTGAAAAGCCTCTCCTAGCACCTCGGGCTGTCAAATGGGATAGAACTAGTGTCACCTAATATTTTATCCCAATATATCTCTATTTTAAATAAAAGATATATATCTAAGTACATATGATCCCTGTCTCATCAATGGCTGCCATCTGAGTCGGAGTCCTTGATTCTTGATTTCTGTGGCAACTATGCATTCATGTTTAAGACATCAGAGCACTAAAGCAGACACTAGTTGAAAAGATTTGAGTGAACATTTATATACATAATGAGTCGAGTAATCCTTTCATATTAGTGTATAAAGTACGGAATAATTCTCTTCCATCAAATTCTTCTTGCCCATCTCGAGATTAGGATTCTATAGTCCAATTTAAATGTCTAATGCTCAAACCATTGAGATGTTTCCTAGGACACATGGGATATCATTAGCTAAGGCTTATGGCAATCAGCCAGGCCGGGGCAAGAAGAATCCAGAAGAAGGTCTAGCTAGGTTTGAATCAAAAGGAGCCAAGCCAAGATATTAATGATATATTTTGATTAAGCAGAGAGGATTTGCCTTTTGTAAGAGTTAAAAAATGAGCCAAATCAATGTGCTGTTAGAAGAATATTCACCTCTTTCAACTAGCAAAGGTTTGCAAAATTAAACTTGACTCCAAATTAAGATTTTAGAATTAATAGATATGAATTGACTCAATTCTTGTTAGAGAAGAAAACTCTTTAATAATAGCTAAATAAAGTCGATCTGTAATATTATATAATAAATGTAAGAATTACAGTAGGGAGAACAAAAATGCCAAAAATTGGAAACCCTACCAATTCACAAAGCATCAATTAATAGAGGGTTTCCATTAGGCCATGCTCTTTCCCTCTAGGCCTCATTTTTCATTTCCTTGGTCACCACTACTACTTTAGGAGGCCCACCTCCAACTCTCACCAGGATATCCTCTCCCTTTTGGCCTTTCCCTTCTACCCATTCCTTCCATTTCTTTCTTTTTATCTTTTCTTTTCTCTTCCATTCTCTTGATTCTCCAATCATCTTCAAAACCCAGGTTGAGGCACCCTTTTGGGAATGGAAGCCAGATTAAACCCATACAACCTTCACTTCTCCACCAACATGAAGATGTTCCACAAGCAAAATCATCAAGACAGGACAGAAACAGAGAATACTGCCTCAGACCTCAGTTTAAGCAACCTGTCCAAGATTATCCTTCCTCCTCTCGGTGTTTCAAACTATAACCAGAATCAAATAAACTCCAAAGGATGGATCATCTACCCCGTGGATTCAAGATACAGGTATGTTTTCATGTCTTGTATATGGAGTAAAGCATATTATTAGACGAGGAAGGGGAAAATCAGAATGTCTTGATATTAAAAATGTTAAAATATTTAATCATAATTATTAAATATGTAAGATATATTATGAACTCTAATTTTATTAAATTTATCATATAATTATTATTAAATATCTTGATATTTTTAATAATAAAATGTCCTGATTTTCTCTTATTAGGTATGAGTCTGGTTCTTTTTTTTTTCTTGGTAACAATCATTTGAGGCACTTTCATTTGGACATGTTCATCATGTCAACAAGCTGTTATTTAGTGGGTCTTAAATTACATTAATGAATGAACTATGATGTCGGTACATTAACAAGCATACACGTGCATAGGTAGGGTACAAGATAATTAATTGTGGCATTAGCCTAACTTCTTAGTTATATTTTCCTATATTAACCAAACTTTTGATTTTTGTCAAATCCTTTGACCAGTCATCTAGATTGGTGGTCAAATTTAGAACATGTTAAGATTCTGAAACTTCCCGAGTTGACAATAAAGTAACTTGAAATATTAATGAAGATATTTCCACAAATTTTCGAAATTGGAATAGGATATTTAGACTCTTTGGAAGTGAAACTAATCCAATGCGTGTGCAGATGCTGGGAGGCATTCATGGTGCTGTTGGTGGCATACTCAGCATGGATGTATCCCTTTGAAGTAGCATTTCTGAGTTCCTCTGCCCACAGAAACATCTCTATAGTAGACAACATCGTCGACCTATTTTTTGGCATTGATATTGTTTTAACGTTCTTTGTTGCATACATTGATTCGAGAACTCAGCTGCTAGTTCGTGATTCAAGAAAAATTGCAGTAAGGTTAGTCCATGTTTTCAAACCTAAGAAATCTTGATAATCTTTTTTCCCTTCTTTAATAAATAAAATAACAGAAAGAACCCTTGACTCAATGATTAGATATATGCCAATCTCAAACTTCTAATTGATTCTTGAAAAATATAAAAGTATTATTAAAGCTGTTGATGAAAGGGATAAAATGGAGTAAATCAAGAGGTTATTATTATTATTTTTTTGAAAATAAATTATGATTTTTTTAGACTTGGATAATATAATATTAATTCTTTTTATGAAAGTGGATTTTGGCATCAGATGCAGTTTTGCCCCACAACCCATTTTGTGCATATTGCTAAAATTGTGGATGCTAAAATGGCATAAAAGGTCAATAGCCTTTTTCATATGATCAAGAAAATGAATGAAGGTACAGGGCGCCACCACCATCTAATTGGTGGCAAATGCTTTGTACCCTCTTTTCACTAGCAAAAGAAGATTCAAAAACAAGACTTTCTAAAATTTTAAAACAGTTTTTTATACAAAATCAAATACAATGTTTGATTCAATAATTAAAAGATATGTTGAGATTCTAAAAAAATTTAAATTTGAATTTTCTAGCATGCACTTAAACTATTTAGGCCTAAATGTTGTGATATTATGGAATTAATTGGGTTTAACCAAATGATTTTACTTAAAATATATGTTGAAAAATCATGCACATTTAGGTCAAGTGGTTTGTTATTTACCCTTTAAGTGAAAATAACCTCAACTTTGATATTGAAATTCTCGATGGTTTTACCCCTCCCTAGTAGAATATTAGGATTCTTTTTGAAAATTTGTTTAATGTATATATATATATATGTTGAAAAGATGATAGTGTCCTTTGTTATAGGTACCTATCCACATGGTTCCTAATGGATGTGGCATCAACACTCCCATTTGAGGCACTAGGCTACTTGTTCACAGGTAAAAGCAAAGTGGGTATTTTTTATTCTCTTTTGGGACTGCTCAGGTTTTGGCGACTTCGGAGGGTTAAACAACTATTCACCAGGTCTGATTTTAATCTCAGTTACAAGTCCAAAGCCAGCATTTAACCCACATTCATCAGTCTATAAGTTTACTTAAAATTCATTTTTTGTAGACTGGAGAAAGATATCAGATTCAACTATTTCTGGATCAGATGTGCAAGACTTCTGGCTGTAAGTAATTAAAGTTATATGAAATCTTATATAATTAGTATTGAATAGTCAATTTAATTAATTGTGTACTTAAATTTGATTTTTGGGGTATAGGTGACATTATTTTTAGTGCATTGTGCTGGATGTCTCTACTATTTGCTTGCTGACTGGTATCCACACCAGGGCAAGACATGGTTAGGGTCAGTGAACCCTAATTTCAGGGAAACAAGCCTCTGGATTAGATATATTTCAGCTTTATATTGGTCCATCACCACCTTGACCACAGTTGGTTATGGTGACCTCCATGCCGTAAACGCTGTGGAAATGATCTTTATAATTTTCTACATGCTCTTCAACCTAGGCCTCACCGCATATTTAATTGGTAACATGACCAATTTGGTCGTTGAAGGAACTCATCGTACCATGGAATTTGTAAGTAACATAAGTGTTTAATGTTGTCACAATTTAAATATAAGCTTGAAAGATTGATGAATTTATGAGAATTTTGGCTATATGTTGCAGAGAAATAGTATTGAAGCAGCATCGAATTTTGTGTCCAGAAATCGGTTGCCTCCCAGACTGAAAGAGCAGATACTGGCTTATATGTGCCTAAGATTTAAGGCTGAGAGCTTGAACCAGCACCAATTGATGGAACAGTTACCGAAATCAATATGCAAAAGCATATGCCAGCATTTGTTCTTGCCAATAGTGGAGCAAGTTTACCTTTTCAAAGGTGTATCGAAGGAAATTCTACGACTTCTGGTACTAAACATCCTCAATCCTAGTAACAGTTATGATGAAATTTAGTATAGTTTAAGAAATTCAAGTCTAAGAATGTAATGGAATTTTGGGGATTTTCAGGTTGCAAAGATGAAAGCTGAGTACATTCCACCTAGGGAAGATGTGATAATGCAAAATGAAGCACCAGATGATGTGTACATAATTGTGTCTGGAGAAGTGGAGATTATTGATTGTGAGATGGAGAAAGAAATTGTTGTAGGAACTCTGCACCCCGGGGACATGTTTGGGGAAATTAGAGCACTATGTTACAAGCCTCAAAGGTTTACATTCAGAACAAAGACATTATCTCAACTCCTGAGGCTCAGAACCAATGATTTAGTAGAAGCAATGCAGGCTAAACAAGAAGACAATGTTTCCATGCTTAAAAACTTCTTCCATGTTGGTTAAGTGCTCTAGTGTTTTTTTTTTTTCTCTTTGAAAATTCTTTTCATATTTCTTGCTAAGTTTTATAATATGTTGTACTGCAGCAAAACAAGAAGCTTAAGGATCTTAAAATTGGAGATTTAATAATGGAGGGAGGAGATGAAGATGGCGATCCAAACATGTCAATTAATCTATTGACTGTTGCTGGAACAGGAAATGCTGCTTTTCTTGATGAACTCCTGAAGGCAAGGTTGGATCATGATATAGGAGATTGTGAAGGGAAAACCCCCTTGGTATCTTTTTATTATCCTTATAAAAAAATCTATTCTTGTCAATAAGCTCGAGTTTTGATTCGTTCAAAAAATTTTGCTTATGAATTTCTCAGCATATAGCCGCGTCAAATGGACATGAAGATTGTGTAATGGTACTCCTAAAGCATGCCTGCAATGTCCACCTGCGCGGTAGCTAGAATTCCAGACTAGTGATTTCTTTCAATCATAGCAAGTAAAAGCTAGTGACTAATATTTTTCTCTTCTGTGTGGCAGATATGAATGGCAACACTGCATTATGGGATGCAGTTTCATCAAAGCACCATTCAATATTTCGGATACTATACCACCGTGCAGCTATTTCTGATCCATTTACTGCTGGTGACCTCCTATGCACTGCTGCCAAGAGAAACAACATTGAGGTCATGAAAGAATTGCTTAAACATGGATTGAATGTAGATGCAGACGATCGTCATGGATTGACAGCATTACAGATTGCCATGGCAGGGAATCATGCAGACATGGTTAATTTGCTAGTGATGAATGGGGCAGACATCGCGAGTGTAAGTAGTCACAGATTATCTTCCATGAATTTGAATGAAATGGTGCAAAACCGTGAAATTGGGCATAGAATTACTATTCTGGATAGCAATCTGAATGAGGTCTCAAAAAGGCTTGAGAAAGAACATGAGGGAAAATGCAATGGAAATGATCATCTAAGGGTGAGCATTTACAAGGGTCATCCCTTGGTGAGGAAGGAAACTTGTTGTAGGGAACCAGGGAGGCTAGTAAAGTTGCCCAATTCACTTGAGGAGCTCAAGAGAATTGCAGGTACACATTTTCTGTTCACCTTGACCTAGCTACTTGTATTGATTATTTTATTTTATTTATAAACAGTAACTGATACATATTTTTATTCAACACGTTGTATAATGCATTTATTAAAAAATTATTTTTTTTAATATGAAAATAAAAATAGACAAACTTAAAAATGTAGCCATGCACATAGGATGCAAGTCGATAAAATTAACTGTATTTATATTATATTTTTAATAACTAAACTAGATGAGTATAAAAAAAGTAAGTTGAATCAAATATGTATCAATTATTTTTCTTATTTGTTTTCTAATTTTTTCTTTTTTGTTTTCTAATTTTTTTCTTTTTTCTATATTGTTTTACATAGGGGAAAAATTGGGGATTAGTGATGCCACAAATGCAACTGTGACAGATGAAGCAGGAGCTGAAATAGACTCCATTGAAGTTATTAGAGACAATGATAAACTTTTCGTAATTGAAGAACCAATCAATTCATTGGCTATGTAATCAAAACGGCATATTTGCTCACCTTATGAAATTGTAAGTTCATATCTCTAGTATTAAGAAAAAAATTTCTTCTTTCTTAACCACATCAATGCACACCCATCAATTTCAAAATACTTAAAAATAAAAAATTTAAAATTTATAAAATTAGTTTATCTGTTTATGCCATTGTCTTGTTCCCCAAATCTTGTCTCTTCAAATTTCAAAATTAAACACATTTTTTTCATAGCAGTAAGGGAGTTGGGATAAGGGGATTGTTGAAATATGTTTTTTTTGTGAGTATGAAGAACAAATATCCCATATTGGTGAAATATGAAGAAAAGGGTGGTTTAAATATATTAAAACTAATATAACTGTTATTCCTTTTTCTTTTTTTTGTTCAGTTAAATGATTATTTGGTTTTTTTGGTTTAAAACCAAAACACACCAAATTACAATTTTGGTTCGGTTATAGTTTTTATCTTAAAATTACATAAACTTAAATAAAAGAGCTTCCAAATTTAATTAAATTAGTGAAAAAATTTCGGCTTATCCAAAAAATCCAAATCAAATTGAATTTTTTTGAATAAAAAAAAATTAAAATTTAGTTTAAAATTTTAACATAATTCAGAAATTCAATTAAAACTTAACCAAACCAAAAAAATTTTAATAACCAAACTAAATTTCGGCATATAATTAGGTGTAGGTTCGATTTTAAAGATAACAACTAAAAAATTTTGGTTAGCTATAACCTTTGTAATTTTTTTTTTTTTTCAGATATTAAAAATCCAAATCTATCCTCTTCAAGCCACTGAAGAAAGTGAGCGCCATGTAAAAGTAAAAAACATGCTTGATTACAAGCGGAAAAAAGAAACCTTTCACTTGAAGCAAATGGCTATGCTTTCAAGAAACAAAAAAGGATTTTTTATTTTTTGACAAATAAGACGCAGGGAAGAATATAAGGAGAGAGAAGGAAGATACACGAAAGACGAGGGGCATAAATGTAATTTTATAAATTATTAGTTTTTTTTTTTTTATTTATAAATATCATAAGTGTAACTTGAGATATTTTGCATATTGTGATTAAGTATAATGGTATTTGTTTTATTTATTATTGATAATCTCTTAATTAGTCTTTTATATTTTTCTAATATATGTTTTTATAAATTTCCTTCTAATATTGAGTTATTCTAGATCTAATTTGAGTGGATTAGCGAGTAAAATAAAAGAGTCATTATAAGTAAAGTCACAAGAAATCAGTTATCACTAACTCAATCGGCGTGAGGTTTCTTAATGGATTTTTCTTTCATGATATGGAAGATTCTATTTAAACAATATACATTTTTATTGATAATATACAGTACTACTTACTAATAATGAATTACAGAAATGATGTAGTAAAAGCTTTTTTTTTTTTTTTTTTGAATTGCATAAATAGATGTAATTTTCTTTCTTCCTTATTCATCCCAACCACATGTTAGCTTCGCTTCCTTTTTTCATCTTTTTCCACCCCAACTTCTTGTTAGCTACTTAAATTTAAGATGTTTATTTTTATTAGAAGGATATTCTTATTGAATTACTTAATAATGTATTTGGATTAAAAAAAATGGATTTGAAGGAAATGAAA